AATATTTATTAGTATTAAGATACTTTATTCCTAGAATAAACTCAACTTAGTTGTAGTGTAGTCTTTATTCCCACACTCAGTTAGATTTGTTTTGTTGAAATTTTATTTAGGAGTTTTATGTATATATTAATCAGTGGAAAGGACCTATTTCCTACTCTGAAATCCCCCTCTGATTATTTTCTATCTAGTTATTCTGAGTTGGGGAAGCATTCCTTGTTTTCCATTCTCTAGAAGAGTTTGTATAAGATAGAAATTATCTAGCCCTTGAGGCTGGCAGAACTCTCAATAAAGCCCTTTGGGCCTGTTGTTTTTCTTATGGGAAGACTTTACATGACTGCTCCATTTTCTTAATAATTGTAAGATTATTCAGGCTATTTCTTTTCTTTTCTTTCTTTTTTTTTTTTTGGCTAGGTAAGGAAAGTCCTCCCCTACCCTTGGAACTTGACCATTTCATTTAAATTTTTGAACAAAATTAAGTATAGTAGTTACATCTGGAGTTTTTGTGTTCTATGATGGATTGATGTATTCAATATATTATTTCAAATCATGTAAAATGTAAAAGGTCCACCACAGACCTAATGATGACAGCGTGTTTTAAATCAAGAATTATGATGAATCCAATTTGGTGTATTCAGTTTCCATTGAAAATGCATTATTTGCTGAAAATATGAGTGACTGAATCTATCTTGGTGCCCAGGGGCGGATACTCCCCAAAGGTGAATCTTGCAGGTCCCCAGCAACACAGACAAGCCTTGATGGGAACTGTCCAGTCAACTCAGACTTATATCTTTTTAAAAGTATATATTTTTATTGAGAGGAAGGAAGAGGGAGATAGAAACATCAATGATGAGAGAGAATCATTGATTGGCTGCCTCCTGCACGCCCCACATTGGGGATCGAGCCCACAACCCGGGGAATATGCCCTGACTGGGAATCAACCGTGACCTCCTGGTTCATAGGTCAACATTCAATCACGAGCCATGCTGGCTGGGCTCAATCTTACATATTCTCCCAATTCAGACTATGAAGGTCTTGAAAGATCTCTCTGCTGTATTCCACAGGTTGGATGCTGGGCCTATAGCACCCCCAATATTAGCTCCCTATTTGTTGGGAGTTAGGAAAAAGCCACATAATTTTTCCAACAGTAGTTTCCAGACACCAGAGGAGAGTGAAGAGGCATCCTGAAACAGAGCTGAATTAAAGACAGCCCTGTGGCATGACGCTTCTCTGCCAATGAAATTACTATGGGACTTAATATATGTCTAGGTCATCACCATGCTACAAGGATAAGTGAATTAAAAAGAAAGCAATTTCTGAAAAAAAATGGTGAAAAGTTTGCTAGTAAGGAGAGGGTGGAGATTAGGGAACCTATAAATTGATGTCAGCTGAGCACTCATTGTAGGGTGTCTGGCAAATGGATTTACTATTTTTCCAACTGTAATAAAGTATTACAAAATTGCTTCTATGCAAACAATTGTTTAAAAAGGGCCCTTACATCAAACAATGCAATTCGTGTGCTTTTCAAGCAATCACAAAGCTGGAGACTAACTTAGAAGTATTAGAAGTAATTTTGCTTGGAATCATGCTGAATACTAAGATTGAGGTGCTCTTTCCTCCTCAACTCCCTCTCTTTCATCAGTCCTTTTTTTTTTTTAATCCTCACCCAAGGATATTTTTCCATTGTTTTTTAGGGAGAGTAGGAGAGAGAGGGAAAGACAGAGAGAAACATTGATCTGAGAGAAACACATGGATTGGTTGCCTCCTGCATGGCCCTGACCAGGGCCTGGGCTGGGGAGAGCCTGCAACCAAGATACATGCCCTCAACCAGAATCAAATCCGGGAACCTTTGGTAGGCAGGCCAATGCTTTATCCACTGAGCCAGTCCAGCTAGGGCGGGATCTGTCTTTTAATGCACCAACACAACTTTAGTTTTTGTGGGGAAAGGGTAAAGGGAAGACAGGATAGGGACTTTGGAGACAGTACTGTGAAGGGAGGCAGGTGGGTCCAGAAATGAAAAGATGGAAATCATTCAATTAAACTCCACCATCTTCATCTGTAAATAGGGATTAAAAACGTATGCCTGTCCTGACGGGATCCCAGGGGGAATGCTGGGCTACTTGAGAAAGCTGCATATAAAATTCCAGCTCTACTAGACTCTCTCTATCTGCATAAAGTCTGTCATAGGAAGCCTCATCCTTTCACTTTATCAGGACCACGGGGGGGAAATTATATGAACTCTGCTGGTGGCATTATGATTTTTTCTGGAAAATGGGGTTAAGTCAAGTTCTTTGAACGTTTTTCTACCCTGAACACCCATATGAATTAAGTCACCTTTTCAAGTCCTTGCACTTAGAAGATTCTGTAAGACTAACTGAAGAATAATGTTGCAAACAGCAACATTTTATCCTCTGATTGAAAGAGGCTGTCCAAAATATACAAAAATAAATTTGCGTTAACTTTTTCAAACTTCTAAAAACTCCTTAGGACAGGAGGCAAACAAAATGCCTCCAGATCTCCAGCATTTACTGGCCCACAGGCTTCTGGATTCCTCACGATTCTGCCAAGGCCTCAACTGGGGTCTAATAAACTGGGCATTGAACACCCCATCACCTTCAGTTACTAAAGGCTATTGCAATTGTCCCGTTTTACAGATGAAATTGAGGTATGGCTTGGTCTGAGAGAGAGAAAGAGAGAGAGAGAGAGAGAGAGAGAGAGAAGGATTTTCTCATTATCTTCAAAGAAAATATTAAAGTAACTAAAAAATGATCTAGTTCAAAAACGGTGTTTCCTTTAGGGCCAAATCGTTTGATCTCATCTTTGAGACAAAGAAGCAAGACAAGTATTTTACTGTAAATTAAAACACCTCCCCGCACCCCCATTCCCGAGGGTGTCAGTCACAGTGGTCTCAGCATTCCAAGCTGAGATGGGGAGAGCATCTGCTGGAGCATATAAATCCGGAGTCCCTATCCATTGGTGGAGGAAAGCCTGGAGAAGACACCGCCTGTGCAGTCCCTGGAAGACGTCTTCTTTGATCCCGGGGTCAAAAAGATTTATTACTTCCTCGGTGAGGGAGAATCCTCAGGCCAGCAGAACCCGAGAGCCGCGAGTAGAAAGCCTGAGGGCGGCGCTCTGCGGCCTAGCATTTCCGCGCGGGTGCGTCCTGGGTTTCCGGAGGGGTCGGGCGGTTCCGACCCCTAAAAAAGAGCAGAGTGGGCGGTCGCTGGGGGATTTCTACTTTACCAGAAAGCAAAAATGTGCAGATGAGCCCGGCAGCTGCACGCAGAACCAAATTACCCAGAGCCCGGGCGCCCCAGCGCTGCGAATCTCGCATCCGCGCCCGGAGCTCTGCGCACGCGTGGTTGAGGCCTCCCCCGAGCGATGGCCACCAGAGCAGCCCCGCAGTAAATCCTGGCCCACATCTCCAGACCTCAGAGCGGTGCGGCGGCGCTGAGAGGCGGCGG